AGAGGGGTTAATAGTGATTTTAATACAGCTAATGAGATTTAGCTAACTGAAAGAAAAATCTCAACATAGATGTACTGCAGATTGCAGTAAAAAAAAAGCAATAAAATTGGGGAAGAATGAATAAGAGTTTAAGATATACATGATAGAACGAGAAATTTTTACCTGTCTAGTCACAACATAATAAACACTAGAGAAAATAACATTAAATACTGAATAATAATATTCAAAGAGATAATGACTGGCACATTTCCAAAGCTGATGAACGATATAAAGACACAGAGTTTAGATCTAAACAAATTACATAATTTTTAGTACATTGGGGCAATGAACTCATGAAAAAAATTAATGACAAGGTAAGGCATATGGGGTAAAGGTCTAATAAAATATAATTGGGGCCCAAAACAAAACTCTAAAGAGATCAGAAGGAAGACAATATTGAAAAAGATAATAGTTGGAAAGCACTCAGGACTAATGAAAAATACGAATTCACAGACATAAAAAGCAAGTAAGAAAAACAGAAATTCTTACTAAGTACTCTATAGTAAAAGCACAATCTGTAGGATAAAGAAAGACATTCATCTACCTACTAGCAGGTGACTTCTGAACAGAAAGAATTCAAGTTAGTAAAACAATGGAATATTATCTTCTGAGCAGTGAAAGAAATATTTATCAACTTAAAACTGGAGACTAGGCAAAGCTCCCTTTCAAGAATAATGACAAAATATAAGAATGTAAATAGAAAGTTTATGAGTGACTGTCCTTCACCAAAAGAAAAGAATGTAAAAGATTACCTCTGAAGAGGTGTGAGCCATTACCCCCCAATCATATACAGTGTTGTAAACCAAAGTTACCTCAATTAAAAAAATAATAATACAATCTAAAAAATAAAATAAAAATAAATCAGGTTACAAAATGGTCCAAAAAAAGGGATATCAAAGATATTTATCAGTTCAAGAGAAAATGATTCCCAAAGTCAAGTCTGAGATGGAAGAAGGAATGATAAGAAGTAATAATTTTAAAATCATTTGGCTGGTTCTAAACAACCTGGGCTTTAGATAAAGAGGGAAAGTCTACAACAGCATGTAGGTCAAATGGGAAGTGATAGAAGGAAGACATCTTTTCTTACCATGGATTGTCAGCACCCCAGTATGGAGACCAACGGTGTGTCTATACACTGATGTCCAGCTACAGCAGCAGCAAGGCTAGCTGCGCTCATTTCAGAAGCCTAGTCGTGTCAAAGGAGCAGGGCACTCCCGACAGAAACAATAGCGAAGGTTCAGCAATAAGAGATGTGCATGGCATACCCTGTGATCCCTCTGGAGGAGTATCTTGCATTTTTCATGTTCTTTCAAAACCTCTAAGACTAAAACATAGTAAGTCAAAACACCACCTCCAAGAATCAACATTGTGAGCTGAACAGCAGTGAAGGATGTCGAGATGCTTAATGACCTTGGGCAGGTCACTGAGTGTTTTGAAGGTGCAATCTCTGTTCATAGTAAGAGAGCAGCAAAATGCAACCTTCACAGGGTCACCGATGTACACTGATGATAAATAAAAAGATTCAAATGGCAAATGTTACTGCACTGATCTCTCACATACTGCTAGTAGTCACTGAGCTGGGCACAGATGTTACAGAATAAAGGAGACAAGGCAAGTCCCGGTTAGAATGAACGTGACAGGGACTGTGACATGTCAGGCGGGCAAAGGATCCTCCACAAACCCAGGAGAAGCACCAAAGACTTTGCTTCCTTCTTGCTTACACATGATTCACAATGATGCCCACAGGACAAATGCCTGATGACCACCTTAGTTATATGTAGAACCCGTGGCAGTCATGTAGAGAGTTTCAGATCTTTCAGAAGAATCACTGTCAAGAGTTTTGTTATAAAAGTTGCAAAATAAGTTTCATCAAAGTCATGTTAAAACATCCCAAGAAGAGATCAAATCAATTTTCTTTACCCGATCAAAATTTCACCACAGAAAGCTAGACTGGGCATTTTGTATCCTTAAAAATTAGCATCATCAGAGTTTTTTCCCAAAACACACACACAAATTTTCTAGCTTCATTCATTTAAAAGCATTTAAGATAGTGACAACTTATTTATTCAGGCTGGAATTACCCAAGCAGAATCTAACAGAAAAGAGAAATATTTCAAATACCCATTCCTTTTCTGGACTCAACTCTTTACAACCTAAAATCACACATTTTGCATAAATTAAATCTATTATCTACAACATTCCTTTCCTACTTCACTGTGTGTATTGCCTTTAGAGCTAATCACTGGTTAACTGTTCTGTCTTATTTAGCCTTGAGGCCTATTAAGAGTACACACAAATCCTTCATCTAAGAAAGTACTTGAGAGAAAGTACACACGAATTCTTTCTCACTCTACTATATACAGTGGAAGTATACAAACATTACAATTGTTACATTCCTCTTTTGAATTTTTTAATTTATCCTCAATATATATACTAGTGACAAGGAGACAGGTGATATCACATATCCCCAGGATACTAAATCCAAACCCATTCATGTATGACTAAACAAATTTTTATTAACTGCAAATGATCAAAAAAGAAACCCAAGTTACTATATTTATATTAATTTCTAGCAGTATTAAATTCTGCAAGACTTAGAAACCTTTAATAGTCATAAAGCAATATAAATTTTCACAATCATTTAGAAAAAAAAGTCACTAACTGAAATCAACTATGAACAACTGCAGTCTGATTCCATACTGGCAATTAATATATGAGCTAACTAGCAGGTTCATTATTTCATTGATGAGAAGCAAGAATGAATCATGACATTTACTACCAACTGGAGACTAGAGAGACACCAATGGTGATTTCATAGCCATCATGGGTGGCCCTTTGATAAAAGGCCTAGAGCATTTGCAATCAATTCAGCCCTATTGACACACTCTCTTCTGCTGCACACTGTTCATTTGGGATTATATTTACCTTTCCTGTAAATTCCTTTAATAGAAAGGCCTTGTCTAAAATACCACTTTTGTATTCCTCCCAACTCAGTAACAGAGCTGAGTGGACACCTATTGATAAATTAGCAGCTGTAATAAAACAGACATTTCCTGCTGAATCCAGGAGAAAATCGGGATGTGGGTAAAGGATGCTAAATGGAGATATAGTTGTGTACAGCAGGATGACAGCAAGGGACAAGACCATAAAAGTGACTCTGAAATAGCATGTTCAGAAACAAAGCCAACGAGTTTATAAAGCATAATCATTTTCAGAAGATATAACAAAATCCATTCCAGTATTATCGCTTAGCTTAAAAATGCTTTTATTTGGTATTACACGTGATGCTGCATTTTGTCCTACTGCTTGATAGATATTTCTATAAAGCTATCTCACATCTGTATACAGTACCTCCTTATTCATTCATTCAAGTATGGGAAGAGTTATAGTACTGAAAATCCAAATGCAAGCAAAAACAATGCATTTTTTCCACCCTTCCTAGGTTAACCTACCGTCATGCTAATAAAATACTGAGGTCGTCCTCTGTCTTACTTTTCATTCACACTGAAATGACACAGTGAAAGGAATTTTTTTACAGTTCCTGTTAGAAAGATTTTGTACCAACTTGGTTTTAAAATCAACTTCAATGTTTTTCATCTTTCCTCCTAACCTTCAATCTCTGCATCAGAATTATATATAAATTATATATTTTGAAATAGTTATGATGAAAATAGTTATAAATAATCATATCAGCAGCATGCCACTGTACCACTGTAAACGCAAGAGACTGGAGAAGACAAAGCATACTCTGAAATGTCTTCCTTGGTCTTCTAACAAAACGTTTTTTCTTCCTCCATGAAATCATATTAAGTTCCCGTACTCCCCTATGCTCCAAGAGACAATATTCAGTTTCTATCTTCCTCCAACATTCAGAGGCGAGCTTGTGTCTCTTCTATCTCATCCCTTTTGTCTAAAACACCAAAGCGCTTCATTATTTTATTTTACCAGCCCCATGGTGGCACCAAGAGCTGGAAAGCTGGTGAGTGAACTCGACAACCAGAGAGATCTGGACAGCCCATCAAAACTTAGTACCCCTTCAGCGCCTAAAAACTAGCCCGAAAATCAGCCAAGGCCCGATTTACATAGGTCATGAGGATTTAAAAAGCAAAACACTTAAACAAAAACGCCCTTTCCCACAAAGGAACACACAATTGTACTTTTCAGAGGTGGAAAGATCAGTTCTTTGGGTTTTCAAGACTTCAAACATCAAGGGACCACGGCATCGAGATAAACTACTCCTGAGGTCACCTGGATCAAAGATCCAGAAGATCCCGCCTTCAAAGAAATGCACCTAGTGACTCTGCAAGGAGGGCAGAGATTTAAAGTCAGACCTGCCAGAATGATTACCACTGATTTGAGGGAGCGAATAAAATGCCTCCGGCTTCCACTGGCTCGACAATATTTGTCTGGAAGCCGGGGGCCCGCGGTGGCTGAGGGTGAAATTCTCCGACTCATCCTCCCCACTGGCCAGGGTCTCCGCCGTGCGAACTCACGGACACACACACACACACACACACACACACACACACACACACACGGTCATCCCACTGCCACCCTCATCCCTCCCCTGCACGCCCTGCCCCCGGGTGCCCGAGCCCCCCAAAGGTGCACACCCTGGAACAAAGAGCCTAATCGGCGGCAATGCGGGGGGCGGGGGGCGCAAGCCTCGAGAGGGACAGCGCAGCGAAGGGGCCAGAGGCGATCGCCGGCCGGCGGGGCCCCGCGGCAACCTGCGGCTGGGCGGCCGGGTCAAGGCCAGCCCGCCGCGGCCCCGCAGCCCGGCCCGCGGGGCGCACCCTCTGCCGGCGGGGCGCGCGGCCGCCTCCACCTTGACCCCGGCGGGCCCGGCCGCCCCGCGCGGCTGGAGGCAGAAGGGGCCGCGCGGCGGCCGGGGGCAGGCCCGGCTGCCGGCGGGGCCGGCGCGGCCAGCGCGGGGGTCGGGGGAGGCCGGGGTGACTCACATTCTCCGTGTCCCGCTCGTTCACCGTCGGCAATGGCGTCCGGGCCGACATTTTGTGCGGGCGGCGGGGTCGCGCCGGGGTCTCGGCGGCCCGGCGGGGGTGCGGGCCGCGGGGGCGCCCGGAAGCGCGGGGCGGCGGGGCCGGGTCGGGCGAGCGGCTCCGCAGGCCGCGGGCGCCGGGCGAGAGGAGGACGCGGCCGCGCGCGGGCCGGAGCGCGGGGCGGCGGCGCGGGGCGGCCGGCGGGGCCGGGGCCGGGGCTGACGGGGCGATGCGCCTCGGATCGCGGCCCGGCGGGTCCCGGCCGGCGCGCCTGGGCGCCGGGAGCCGCGGCCCTGACAGCGCCGCCCGCGCCGCGCCCCGCGCGCCCCGCCTCAGGTGTGCGGCGCCGCCCGCCGAGCCGCAGCCACGCGCCGCCGCCCCGCCCCGCCCGGCCGGCCGGCCGCCTCGCCGCGCCGCCGCCGCCGGAGCCTGCAGCCCGGAGCGGCCCGAGCCAGCCGGCTGCGCGCGGAGCGGCGGGCGCGCTCTCAGCGCCCCGAGCCTCTGGGCGGCCGCCGCGGGGTGGGCGGGCGCCGGCCGGGGGCCTCTCCATTCATTCCCTCATTAGGGATGCGGGGCCGCCTCCTCCAGCGCCGCGGATTTTCGTGCCTCGCCCCCCCCCCCCGCGGAGGACGGCCGTCTGAGCGCCGCGGGCCTTTATTTTATTCTGCTTGCTGGGGTCTTGCCGAGAGGAGAGGAGAAGGCGCCCCAGCCAGGCAGCGCCCCCCAACCGGCTTTTTTTTCTGGGGGGGGGCGGAGGGGAGGGTGAGTTTCCTTGGGGAGGAATTGGGTGCGCGTCCTGCTCCCCAGCCTCCACCTTGCTCTGGCCTCGGACTTTCCCCTTATATGGTTCTCCTCCCCCAACCCCCAGCTTTCCCAAGTCCTGGCCGCCCGAACTGAGCCTGCTCCCAGCCCCTTTTGGGGAGCCGTAGGGCTCAGGGTCACTCTGAGAGTGGGGCTGAGGGCGCAGGAGTCCCTGCAAGCGCCGGCAGCTCGCGAGCCCGTCTACACTGGGCCGAGGCCGGCAGCTCGCCGGGAAAACCCGGCCCAAGAGGTCGCCGGGCGCGGGTCGCCGCATCCCCGGGGTGGGTGAGACAAGGGAGACTCAAATCTACACTGGCAGATCGTCACTTCCTGGGACACAAGGAAGTGTCACTTGGGCGAGCGCGTCGAGGGAGAGAGGAAGGCTGTCTGGGAGGTGGGCCCCGTCCAGCTCCTCCAGGTTGCTACCTCGCCCCGCACCCACCTGCCGCTGGGCACATCCTGAAGACGTCCGCGTGTCACACAAGGTCCCGGGTCCATTCTTAGACCCTTCAAGAGCAACGCTGCTTCTTTCTATCTGATGTGAGAGTTTAGGTTTTGCACATTCAGCCCCCAGGACAAAAGCCTTACTATCTCTCTATTCCTCTTCTTTTCAGTAGTTCTTTTTCCACTTCCTTTCATGGTGAGCTGGAACACATGCACATGAGGAGCAATTGATACAAGGGGATCGATCCTATGTTGGAGCTGCTGCCTTAAGCCTCCAATGAGAATCTTAAGAAATTCTTCCTCCTGAAGTTCATCCATTTGCAAGAGGAATCCCTGCGCCAGATGGTTTTTATCCTGACTCATTAAAGGTTGTTTCTGAGAAGTTAACACTTGACCCTTAAAACATGTGCCAAAAGATATAAAAATAGCAAATAGAAAGATCTTCTCAGAAAAAAAAAAAATCTCACCCACTATATAATCACTTCTGGAGCACTCTGTGTCTATTTTTTTTAGCACCTGGTTAAAAAAAAAAAACAACTTTCCGATTTCACAAAGTAAATAAAAATCACAAGACCCCTGTAGCATCATCCCCACTCCTTAAACAGAAGTCAGACTTTGGCACTATAAAGATGGCTTTCTGAATTGTGGTGTGAAACTGGAAATGCCAAGCTTTTGTTGTCCCTCTGTGAAGATCCAGAATCACCAAGAGGTATTGAGTTTGCCAGGGCAGAAGCTTGTACTTTTCTGATCAACTAGAGCCACTGCTGCCTACAGGGGCTGCTGCTGTCTGTCAGCGGCATCTTTGACATGTGCAGCCACTCAAGAGTACCTGAGGTTACAGGGTACCCATGTTAACATGGCAGTGAACAAATACCAGTGAAATGGTGTTCAACCCCATTGGAATATAAATGATCCCTTCAACTGGTAGCTTGGATTTTGCTTTTCAATTCCCACTCACATATTATCCAGTGTTTACCCTTGTGGTGACCCAGACAGTTATGTTTATTTCCCGTTTACAAAAAGCCCATTCAATTGACTTATTCAAGATCACATATGCACCAGGTTAATGGTGTACAGAGGATAATTGGAATACTTAGCACTGTTCAATCTTGCACCTGTCTCAAGACCCATGTTCACCACCTGTAAGGTAAAACAGCAAACCAGACACATCTTTCGAAGGATGTTTCAGGATTCTGGCACAGTGGCTTCCAAGCCTTGCAAATGTACATGAAACAGCCAGCACAAATCCCTTAGCTCTGCTCCCTCTACTGTGCCCACACATGGAAACTTACTAAATACTAGGTAACATAATAAAGGATACTTATTTCTTCTGCAGCACCAGTTCAATCCCCGGCCTGCCCAGGAAGCAACCCACATGGCACAGCAGACCTCTCCTGATCCCCCCGCTGCTCCCCTCAGCAGTGTATTTCAGCCAATCCGCCTGTTCTGTTCCCCACTTTGTCTCTGGTGAATCCTCTTACTCCCAGCACTTTTGGCCTGTACCCCAGCTCTTGTATGCATAAATAAATAAATAAATCTTAAAAAAAGAGAAAATTTTATGATGGTGGAAGGACCTTAAAGGGAGTCTGATCAGGTACATAATTCAAGTCCTTAATTCTGGCTAACAAAATAAAAAATAGAAGCAACTCTCATCCTTAAAAATAACCTTTATTCATAGCCACAGTTTTGGGCTTGGTATATAATGAAATTTCACTTTGCATAGGTTAGAAAAAAGTCACTGCGATTTTTCAAAGAAACTATTGAGTGTGTTCCCCTGTATAAACTTTCCTCCCCTTGAAATGGCATGAGGCAATATTGTGATAAATCTATCTCTTCAGCCTTAGTCCTTAATAGTGAGAAAGTGCACAAGCAAAATTGTTTTGTATCACTCTGTATAGCTTCTTGTGCCTGTGATCATGAAGACATAACAGAAGGAATAGGCTAAGCTTGAAATAAATCTCTTTTGTTTGATTAACCAAATGTGGCATATTTAATTTAGAAGTTTCTAACCTAGAGTAATAAAGGTTTCAGGGGAAAAATGAAGTAGAGAGAAAACAAAAGAAAAATAAAGGTCTACAATAAAGGTCTACTGAATAAAGGTCTGCTAAAGTGTGCTAAAAGAGGACTGCCTGCTTTCGGCCACATGGAGCTGAATCTCCAGAACCATCCTGTCCTGTATGGCAGATACAGCGATGTGTGGCCATTGGACTTTCAGTTCCTCGTAGGAATGAAAAACTGACTTTTTAACCTGATTTCAGTTATTTAAATTAAAAAACCCTGATATTTGGCTCTGTTATTTAAAAATTTTAAACTATGTTGGAAAAAAAACCTTGGGTATATGAATCTGCCTTTTCAACTCTCAGTATTCTGATATCTACATAAAGCTCATTGGTCATCTGAAATTGATATATGATATACAAATCAAATGTGTTTTGATTTTTAAAGACTTTGGGGGGAAGAGTGTAAGATATTTCCTTAATAAATTTTATATTGATTGTATTTTGAAATACTAATATTTTGACATATTAAGTTGGGTAAAATATGTTGTTAAAATTGATTTCAATTGTTTTTGCTTTTTCAAATGTGGACACTGAAAAGGGTAAAATTTCACATGTGACTCAATTCATATCTCTGTTGGATAGCAGCTCTCTGTTACGTGAAAATTGAGCAGAAAGAAGTTTAGTTGTTGCAGAATCAAAGGCCTTAATTAGAAGCAATTAATAATTCATTCTTTGACTCAATAAACATTTATCAAGTATCGCTGTACCATACGCCAAGCACTATGTTGTTCAAAGGGAATATTTTTTACCTGATGGCTACCAGCAGTTAGAATTATAGTATTCGTTTTACAGAGCAAAAAGATGAAAAACATGGCAGATTCCTACAAATGAGGGGTAATAGGTTGTAGTCTGAATTTATTGAATATGACAGATTCAGCAGAGTTCATAATAAACCCATTCAACTGCATGTTTCTTAAAACATATATCTAACAGCCAATAATATTTATTGAGGAATACTTTATTTCAATACTAGAAAAGGCTATTGACAATCTTTTTAACCCATACAAGCAAACTACAAGATGTACAGCTCTGTAAAGTAGGAATTGTCTCAGCTAAAGAGAAACACATTTAACGTCCATCAGGAAAAGAACCATTAGTTCTTTTCATAAAATAAACTGGATTCTGATAGCTCTCCTATTATTAAGAGGTAACTTGCTATAGCATGTTAACACTCACTGCTGAAAATATAGAATCTCTGAAATGGAAAAGGCCCTCAAGACAAAAGATAGAGTTTATCTTAACAGCTGTGTAAGTATGTATGGCCATAAAGTCCCCGAGATTGTGTGCATTGCCCTTGTCTCCACAGCCGCCGGCTTCAGCACAAGAGTCAGCGGGGTTGCATAGGTTGGGCCGGTCCACACCTCCCTACTTGATCTCTGCCCTAGTAACATTTGTTCTTTTCCCTGCCGGCATCTGGGCTCAGCAGGGTCGCAGTTTGAACTTCTCCCAGTGCCCATCATGCTCCTTGAACCGCTGTGCCCTATGTAACCTGTTCTCTCTTCCTGAATGTCCACCTTCTTTCCCACCTGGTGGACTTAGAGTTGGTCTTTCAAACCTCTAGGAGCTTTCCCCAACAGCCCACTCATCCGCATACCCACAGGGTTCATGAATCATTCCCTCTGCACTACCTCTGTCCTTCTGCAGGTGCTTCCTGTACTTCCTTCTTCAGCCACTCTTCTGGTAGTAGGTATCTGGGAGCTGGGGGCAAGGAAGAGAATTCATCTCTTTGCCCATCCAGCACAGCAC